AAGTCGAATGGAATGTCGTCGAAATTATGGGTTCGACTAACGTCGATGAATCATTAAACACCTCCGATCTCCGCTCTGGACGAAGGCACACAGCATGCTGCGCGATGTTCGCCAAGTCCACCAGATCAAATTTGATACGGAATTAGAAATATAATTTTGCTCCACTCGTAAGGTTCTCAGAGGCAGATCATTTGGGTGCTTAATAGTACGACATGACGAGACAACATTAAGATAAGGCTGCAATGTCCGGATTGACTTGTGTGTGTTGGCCTGAAACTTAAAATCGATTATGGTTTTATTACAAGTTTTTAAGTGATTTTATATATTAAAACAGTTCGTCCGGCTACAGACTACAAAGGGATCATCGTGTCGTCGCTGAGAAAATGTAAGTAGCATGCGATGAGTTGAGGTTGGTGAGATGTCCCAAGGCTTGCGCGTTAGTAACCATACTTTAAAACTTATATACTTTCGTATCGTAAAGGGCCTTAAAGGATATGTCATAAAAATATTGAGCCGTCGCAAGCTAATATAAATCTCGATATGGGCTCTATTACCTCACGAAGGTTAAAGTGAAGAAGAGTTCTAGTGAAAATATGAAACAACCAATCGCGTTTCTGGATAAACCCGAAACTATTCTGACTAGGGGGAAATGACCAAGAATAGATTGCATAATGCTATAGAATTTATCTGTATAATGTTCACTTTGGGGTAAATTTCTGGGTATTTGGTCGATTTCATTAAACGACATACGAAGGTAAGGCGTTAATGATCAGCCGTCCACGAGCCACCTTTATAAAATATATCACCTACAGTTTCGTCCGATTTCTGTGTGATGGCATAGCATGATTCGGTGATGCAACTGTTGATTTACATGATAAAAACACATGGAAAAAAGAGGATTTGTCGTAAAATGAAGATACGTGGTAGCTGAACCTGCTTTTAATGGGTTACAGTAAAGGTTATATGTCTGCTTCAAAAAAAGAGGCCACCCCTTCCGGTCAGAAATATTGGATTCCTAACGTCTTCAGAGACCCCAATAGCACCTATTTGCACAAGTTGTGTCCTGGATATCCTCTCCAGGTAAAAATCGAACTTTATAGCTTTTTAGCTGTAACCAGATTAAGGAAATCACAAATTAATTAGTATCAGTCGTCCGTCCATATAGCGGACCAAACTGTGTGGAGTGTTTGTCTCGTTCCTTAATTAGAACTCTCTAATATTAAAATTCAAAATGAACCCAATTTGAGAAAATCGTCCATGATACACTGAGTCTTTCACATCGAGCACTTCTTTCTACCGCTCTCGGTAATACTAGCCAGCATCTCGTTGAGCTCGTCACTGTTGTGCTATAGCAAAAGAAATGATGAAAGACGGGGACAACAGTCTACAGCCTCATGTGGCCCAATCGTCACCTCATAAACCTTGTCACTATCATCTTCGTTCTGTATCGCCTCGCGCTCTTTTACGTTTGAGTCGCACTTACACGGCTTGTCGTCATCCGCAACGATGTACTCACCGACACTGACGCCGCAAGTCATATTCTTCATGATCATGGTCAGCTAGTCCCCACAGATCGATCGATGCGTTTCTTTTAGTCGCGTAGTTGGGTGAGATCGTTCATCGTTACCGCCACCACGATAATACACTTGCTCAAGAAGCTTTTAATCTTTAACTAGGGTTCCTTTACCCAGATCGATATAGCAAAGCGCACAGCCTCCAGGAATTTTAACATTTTATCGATTTTGGTATGGATTGCATCCAGGAGTCTTCGAAAAATCTCTTTCGATGCCGCGCCTTAAATAAATGAAAAATGACTATTTAAACAGGACGTAAAAAATATCAGTCAACAAAATATCCGTCCAAACTCACTTGCGTCTAGATGTGCTGCCATTATTAGTGGCAGGAATGTAAGCTTGAAATTGTAGAATTCAGGGCTAACATAGTGACGCGACGCGTTTTCCAGCAGTAGAAGCACTCGCCTCCCGTGCGTCTTAAATCGAAGTTGCCGAAGACACATAGTAGCCCTTGACGTGTTTTGCCACGCAGTCTGGTTGTTGAGTATACAACTTCAATGTTTGGTTTAGCCTTGGCGATATGCTCGTGATTGATTTGACTTACCAATAACAACGAGATGTATCTTTTCGGTGCCGTTCTTTTTGTAGCGTATTGCGACTGTGATACAGCGCTTTTCGACTTATTCCGTTAAGCTTGACGCGTTGCCAGTTTTTTGTTTGGAGGTAGGCAATAGAAGAAAGCTAATTCATATAATGTAATACATCAAATCGTAAATACTGGCCAACCAGTTTTTTTTTAGTTTCATCTGATTCACTGAAATTGAGCGCTGTCAACTGATTCTGCCTCGCCGCTTAGATCGTGCTGCTGAAAGCTTTCTTGAATCTTATACTTGTTCAGCCATTTATTCGAAAGCCGCAGATTAATAACGGTTAGCCCTTTAGCATATCAGATTGAATGACCTTCGTCTAGTATAAGCTCACCTCCGAGAATTGCTTTGGCTTCATCGATAGACTTTAATGCGAGAGACGTAGCCTCAAAAGCTGAAAATACCACCTTTCGAGTGTGCATTCTGACCATCGCTAGAAACGCGTTGTCTGGTGCCTGGCAAATCCGTTCAGCTGCCGTTGAAAGAATCCGACTCAGTCTTGTATATGAGCCAACTTGATGACTGGTGTACTTTTGATGTTCAACTGCACCTGATATTTTCCCTATCGTGATATTTTTCGCTTTGTCGTTATGTGTAAGTCGGAACTGAAGCGATTGTTCAAAATGGCAGGCAATGCGAGACTGCCGCAAGTACATTTGAGGTGGAGGGAATTGTTAATCAGTGCGCGCTGTTTTGGTGTTCGGTTTCTTCGATCTCTTAGATAGATTCAGTAAAAAAAAGCCAAGTGACTCATATTGGTTCGGTACAGTAAGCTCTAAAACAGGAAGTAACCCTCGATAGGAATACTTAAATCGAGAGAGGACTGTAAAATGTCGCGGGACGGCTCAAGTGGTCATAAGGCAAGCGGATTAAATATCGACATATTAGACAAGAGGAAAAACCAAAGAGATCAGGACAACTAGAATTCAGTGCATCGAGAATCAAAGCGATTGAGCTTAGTTTTTCACTCGGTCGCCGCTTATCCAAACACGGTCAAGTTTAGCGTAAATTTAAGTTCACCTTGAAGAATGCAACATTGTGCGGATCGACAGACAACGGAAGAGGAGGAGAAAAACAATGAGCAGAATTGCGGAGTAAATTTTGCATTAGGCGATCGTCTGGACGCCAGTGTAGATTTGAAATCATTTCAGAAATCTAAAGAATCCTGGCCACAACATACATCACCTCGTGAGTCGTTTATGTCCACCCAGGTGCACACATAAACTACGGTTTTCATACAGGGTGTTGCGGAGAATCCATAAGCCCCCTCTGTTTTTCCGCGTAAACTAGGTACTCTAGATCTTAAATTTTTTTAGAGCGGAAAAGGAGGACTTTATCCTGAGACCGGATTTTACTAGTTGAAGTAGCTATCGTTGACCGAGACTACATGTTCGTTAATGAAAAGATCTGACAAGCCACCCTTTGCCAGGTTATTTCCGTCCTTCCTGTCACTTCCCTCTGCAACAGCATTTTCTACAACGGCACCGTCAATGACGTTGAAGGTGCTCGAGATTGAATGTTTACTGCGAGCCCGAAGGATGGATCTATTGGTGAGCAAGGTTGGCGCAAGGTTGAATGCTGAACTTTTAAATCGTTCTTATCTGTGTGTGTGCCTGTCTGTAAAATAACGCGGGTAGGTGTATACCTTACTCTTACTTAATACAATCCAGCCTGTCCCCTTTATTGGTCGACTAGCATGATATGTATCATTCTATGGCTAGGTCAATATTATGATGCACGCATGTGATTGGCATGAAATCGATTAAAGGTGAACACGATCACATAAGAAAAAGCTTAACGCTCATAAGCAAAGGCCGATCGTGTTGCCCCGGCCATACTATATTGGGTAAATACAGACATTGACAGCACTATAACCATTCCACAGTAACTGCTGTTGTATAGTGTTTTGTAACTCGACTCGGTTTTTGAACTGGATTACCTATGTTAAAGGACGAGCTCCAGAGCTTGTATATCGTATTAAACGGTGTTTTTTCTTCCAACTGCACTTAATGCAGAGATTGTCCGCTAAACCCCTTTGCTCGCGTTCAACAGATATCGCTCTATTTTTAGTGTACCGGTCGAAAACCAGATGAGTGCATCGTGGAACCTGTTACGGTCGTACCCAGACTTCTGAATCTTTCGACACAAAAAGGTACGCCATAAACACGTGTTTGTGAAAATGACCATTCAGGAGAGACCCTTTCTCTACTTGATGAAGCACACGTGACGGACTCTGATTCGATGTACATCATAATGCGATCACCCCGTTTGCGAACAGAGAAGCCGATTGGAGACACAAAGAAGTTGTACACGCCGTGAAGCCATTTGAACTGACTGTTTTGTGGGTACGAACAACTTTTTCTCGTCGAGTCAGGGGATGGAGCACCATATCGACGCAAATGAAGTCAACTAATAACAACGTATCGACTGTGGCAAGCAGCACGGCAAACCAGGAATGACTTCATCTGTGTCTCGGCTTTTCATCTATCCAATAAGGACGTATTCACCTCATGAGACAAAAGCTATGACGGTACGAGGACATTCTGGATGAGGAGGCAATTGATTTTATCGACATCACAGCTGGCAAGACTTTCGTAGTGTCCGCAAGGCTCAGCTCGTCTATGTTTGTAAAACGCCGGTGGACCGGCTCTTGTCTCCGTGACAAATCAATGCATCGAAATAAGCTATGTGATAGACAAGGTGAATGAGCAGCCAAAAGAAAACCGAAGAAGAATAGTAGGGACAAGATGACTCGTTTTCTGCTTTGTAACTATTGCGTCCTATCGTAGAAAGATCAATACGACGTTGGAAATGGCGCAACTTACAGTATCTCTTGGTTTTAGTCGTCAGATGACGCGGGTGCGCGACAGCGGTAAAAGGAGAGGTCGTAGTGTGCCATCGCTAGGCAAACTAAAAGGTGTCGAGACTCACGCGGCAACAGCAAACGACTCTCTTGGAAACGCACGATCAGTCGGAGAAGAAGGTGAAACGGAACGGGCAGTTTCATGTCGTAATATAGCACGTTCTGGTCGTTTGTCGCTGGCAAGATGAAGCCAAAGCCAACCATTGTGTACTCGCTCCCGTTGTAAACATCACTTCGGATTGTAGCATCAACTACCTCCTGGTACAACGGGTTTGCTGCTCGCGTTTGCACATATGAAACGATCGATTGGTCGAGGGTTTTCATTTGCTTCTCCAGCGAGCTCACCAGCACGACGAGCTCGCTTTCGTCCAGACTCTCTGGCATGATAGTAGTATGCTTGACCTTCATGTACATTTGTGTGTCGTAGTTCGTATCTGCGTAGTACGAAACCACCTCATCGAGGATGGGTACCCGTTCATTCATGTGATGTTCGAAAACGTGCAGCGAGATAGTCTCTGCATCGCTACTCTTCGCGCTGATCGACATGTTGAAAGTGCCCAGCACAGCATCAGCAAATTCATCCACATCAAGGTCGTGATTCGAGTAGCAAACGGTGGACGGACCTTGCAGACCGTGCTGCAGTGCTCTTTTCTCGGCTTCAAAGGCCACCAGGATCATCTCCAGTAGCATGTTCAATCGCACGGCTGTTTTTGTTGCGGGAGTCATACTCGGGTTAGCAAACGTTCGAAGCAGCTCTGGCGATGTCAGTGTCGGCGTGTACACCGTCACGCCAGAGTATACTAGACACAATCGTTCCATGGTGCATTCATGAGTATCTTCGTCGACATAGCTCTCAATAATCTTGTTGTCAGCCGAAGGGTACGTGTAGAAGTGCGTGAGTACAGCATAGATTTCACTTCTCGAATAAATGTTGGTCACATTGCCAGTGTTATTACCATCATCATTGGTGCGTTGCTCCAGAGATCGTGACTGTACCGTCGTAGCTTTGCTCGAGTCGTAAGAAGTGCTGCACCTGGATTGGGTAGAAGCGTTGGCAATCTCGAGCGACGTCCTAAGAAAACCTTGCAGCGATGGAAATATCGAGTGTGATACATTGGGGCGAATCGCTAGGCGAGGTATACCCGTGTCAAAGTGGTATTCCTGGAGCTGCATGTAAATTTGATCCAGCGCACATATGTCGTCTACGCTCACGGTGCTTGCGTCAGTGTGAAAACGCTTTCTTGTCAGTTCATTAGGAGTGCTGCCATTTGCAAGTTTTGAAACGTTGAGCTCGTCATTGGACGAAACCTTAGCTTGTTGAGAAAGTTTTCGACAGCGTGTGTCGCTTCCATTACCCTTCGACGTGCACGAGCCTAGCTGTACTTCGGCATTCAACTCCTCATCTGTGTCATCGTTCATATTGATTGACCGCAAAAGCTGTGTCGAAATCATTCGTGCCAATTCGAGATGTGGAGACCAAAGCCACGGATAGCTGTCTGCAGGGAATGTGGGTGGCGGTAAAGTATCGTCCCGGGTGTAATAGCGATCCGAATAGCCTTCATATGGATCAAAAGCTGTTGAGTACCGCGCATATAACGGAGCTCGCTTACTCGCTCCGTCATGCTTGTATACCTGCGTTGTGTTCTGCCGATACATATCATTCCTGCCCATTCCTTCGATCGGTTCTACCGGAAGCGAAAGGTTAAGCTCCTGAATCATCTCACTAGCGTTCATCATCTTTAAGTGCTGTACGAACATCTCGTCTTCAAGCGTATCAACATAATGAGTCTGAATGAGATTCCAAGCTACTTGACCGAGCGACTTTAATAGCGGAAGTGCTAAGTTATCGGCTAGAAACATGCGCACCGCCTTGTTGCGACGGCGACGCACATTGCCGGATCGTAACGAGCTTCCGTAATCCATTGGAGACACAAGGTTGTATAACAAAAGCCGAGGTAAATCTTTCCGTAGAGTTCGACCATCCTCAGTGGATAGCATCCATTTGGGGATCCATGACGTATTGTTCTCAGTCGACTCACGGTATTCTGCGCAGCTGCTGCAAGTCGAATCATTAAGCAGTACAATTTTACCTTCCGGTAACCGTTTCCAATGTGGCCGATACGTATACGGGTGATCGTGTTTCCAGTAATCGCTGGCATTCAAATTTGTGCCGTTCGACTCCTCGAGCTTCTCGTCTTTGTAGCTTATAACAAGTGGTAGGATGGAAAGCATTAGTACCGCATGAATGAGTACTTGCACCATGTTGATTCACCTCCAGGATGAAGTGGCTTATTCACGAAGACACTTTGCTGGCCTTTTCCGCTGTAAAAGACGAGCACAGCACGCACTTTCCTGCCACGTATCGCCAATGGAGGATTCATCCTCGAGCATGTTTTGGCAATTTCAGTCACACCCTGGATACCTTATATCCTCATAAGTCATAACTTGTACACTCATGCAATTTTCGCTCGACAATGCTCATTCTATGGTTGCTGGCTCAGAACTTATGCTTCATTTCTATTGGAAGTTTATGCGTTTTCCAAGGGATAAAAATCACATGCCCTTTGTTACTTGTTGTCCGTTTTCAGAGAATAACAAAGATCAAGTCATTTTTATAGCTTGATTGGCAATGGCATCGCTGATTAAAGCTCGTTCAGCGCTCTTTTGGCTAGGGTTAGTCACGCATTTTTCTAGTAGCCACAAGCGAAAAATAAACAGATGAAAACCATCATTTGTGAAAGTATGACGCCGAGGTTATTCGCAAAGCGTTTGAGCCACCAATTGATAAGTGTGAGGGCATAAACAAGGCAAATGCTAAACAACTAAGTTTCTTTTTAACTTGGCCGACTTATTTCTTATAATATCTCGGCAGGCGATTAAGAAGTAACTTAGAAGCACGCATGACTTCGTCAACCATAGATTCCATATACTTAATTTGCTTTCACTATTTGCTCACTTGCCCATTCAAAGCTCATGGTGACAATAGGGATGAAAACAGGGTTGTACCCTATTCCAGTCTTCCCTTCTGCTGTTAGCGTTCCATACCGACCAAGATGTCGCTTTTTGACGCCATCTAGCTAAACGGTCATAGATCGACTAAATATGATGCACCGCGCGATCGCGAACGCTTACTATGGAACTTTATACATAGCTTGGAAATTTTGATAGTGACGTGCTCTTACGTAATTTTCAGCTACATTGCTATCACCGGGATATTAACACCGTATATAATTGATGCAGTGTGTCTCTACATACGGCAAATTCACATAGTAAATTAAGCGCGGGAGGTCTTTGATCGTAGTTGAGCCGTGACTACGCAAACCTTAGTGTTTGTGATATTGCGGATAGCTTTCCATAGTGTCGGGAGTAGGCGCAGAGGCTAAACAACAATACTTCCCCGAACAGGAGGTAATTGTGATCTATAGCCATATCGCTATCCAAAAAGAAGAAGTGAACCGCGCTGTGATAAAAATTTCTGCCTTTCATTGTTGGCCCTGAGTTATCTTACTTGCCTCTCAATCGCTTAGATCTGTCCAAGTTGATTTCTACAGCCAAAAATCTGACCGAAGCTGATTAACTTACAGGCTTGAAGTCTATATCCGATGTTTCGACTACCCTGACATACCTCTTCAAGCATGCTCGTAACTAATATGGAGCGACTGACTAACACTACATTGATAAAATCTCTAAATTTGTACATCGTAGCTAAACGCGAGAGCAATCACAAAAAAACTCTTTTGGCGAGACAATTACTAATATTCTAATTTTAAAAATACCATCAATGTGACAATATTTTACATCATGCGGGAAACGGGGTGAGCCTGTTGCATGTAATTTATTCTTGATACTTATTGGTTAGATTATTATCGTAAAGTCTTGCAATTTTCAGGAATATTACCTTAAAGGGGAAATATTTAGAAACACTCACCGATTGGCTGATATGGGTCATCATTTCACCCAGCTCTAGCGGTCCAATCAACGATGGATGCGCATACTGAGTGGTGAGAAAGACATAGCACGCATTATTGGTATCCAGTGTGTTGTTACGGTGCTTCGTAACAATGCGTACCAGGCGACGACTTTTTGCCCTTTCCCAAGCATGCCCCAGCCAAAAAAAGAACGCAGCCGTTCAGCATTTGCTTGCAACAACTGCTTAATAAGGGAAAGTAGCGCTATTTGTTGTACCCGAATTTCTGAATCGCCCTTAATCGATCAATGTTGCATTTTAAAAAATAGACGCATTTTTTAGGTTAAATCACACGTATTTGCCTCTACGATGACTTTTTACCTATTATCTGATATGAAGGTAGAGGAGCAAGCTTTAAAGCTCGTCCTTTGATATAATTTATTCAGTGTAAAACCGAATCAAGAGTTGAATATTTAAGTAACTTGCGCTCATTTAGTAATAGCTTCACCGTTCGGGCTCGCTTACAATTTCTGCTGATCGATGGAAACAAGGCTAATGCTATTCGCACTTATAAAGACGTGCACGGTGCACCTAGCATTTATTTGCAGACACACGTAAAATGATACAATATGCTACATCGCAATTAGTAAGAGGTGTAAGGTACATCTAGTGATACTTACACATGAGATGAGTGACGGACAAGATTGCACTTAGTGCGACGTGCTAGGGAAACCTGTTTTTTTTGTATACGAAGAGGGTGAGCGCCAAAATGCACTTGATACAACATGTAAGGTGCGCCTAGCGTCTATTGCAGATGTATAATATGAGAGGTCAGGCCAAATCGCTCTCAGAACGACTTGTAGAGTACATCTAGCTTTGCTCACGGACATACTACAGCGCGCTTAGTGCGACGTGTAAGGTACACCAGGCGTAATTCACACATAGAAGAGGTAAGAGCCTTATTTGAACTTAGTGCTAAAATTTATGGTACTCCTAGCGTTATTTACACAAACACATTTATGTACACAATTATAAAAAGTATGGCGTTCATCTTGCGCACAGTCACTAATAGCTTCACCCTTCGAGCTCGCAATCAAATGTAATACGATTATTATCGTACGTGGCCTTCCTTTCAGCCTCAATTTATGTATGTATATATATTTATATACATTTATATATTAACAAAACGGATCAACAATATGAAACAAAAATTGCTGGATTTAGGACAAAGACTAGGCCTTGGCAAGGAAAGTTAGGGCACCTTTTGTTGCACGGTAAAACGGTAAAATCAGTGGTAAAGGGCGAAGGGTGGTCAACAGGTAAGGTAGTGGATGACGTAATGGTAAAGGCGATCGCATTACCCAATCACCCGGTAATTACAGGCGAATCAATGTCTAATTTTATTACAAAGGCTTATGTGTAGCATTTCGCGAGTTGTGAGTTGCCCCGTAGCCACGGAGTTCGACAGAGAATGCGCCAAGGAATACCGCCGAGCACTGCCCTCCCAGAGCGCAGAGATTAATTAAACAATTGTCAAGGTACACGTCTTCGCGCGCGACTGCCTTTTATGGCCTTTATATTCGTAGAGGTCTCTTACGGCGGCGGAGACAATAACGACGCCAAACTTACAACCCGCGGCACGAACCACAAAGACGCCGACCTCCATCATTTTCTTTGTCCGGCAGTAGCGCCGATGACGTAGACGCCCATGTCCAGGCATTCCCCCGTCCAAATTTGATCGCGAGCGATAGAGGCCTAAATGCCATTAGGAATGTGTAAGCGATTGGACTGACCGATACAGCGCCGTGAAAAATGAGAAGCGATGGTTTATACTCTGTAGCAAGTGACACAAGGGATCGACCAATGCGTCTGGATGGAAAGCACATCTAAAGACCGCGCGTGGCATCACCGAAAGCAACACCCCGTCTTCTACACCGATTCACACATCTCTATCATGGCAAATTGTACGCTCACGAAACGCAGAATCGTGATCTAAGAGGCCGTTCGGCATAAGCACAAGAATTCGATTCTAAAATTCGTCATCAAGTTGTCGTCAGCATCGTGCGTGGCTGACGATAATCGTTTTTCATCCTGTTGCTAACGAACCGGTGCGAGCCACGGCTACTAGGGCGATCCTGAGTCAGAATTTCGTGCTGCACCAGATTGTGGAGCTAGCGCTTGCGAAATTTTTCACTTGATCTGAAAATCGCCATCTCACTGACGCTGAACGGATGATTAAACTTCAACTCAAAGCTTTTATGTTGACACCGCACGCTGGGTCGACGTCGCCGCTTTTACGACGAAAAGCGTTCTACCCACGATCCTCTACATCAAGTGCGGGATGGTGTCGGCCACGCTTTGGGACGGCCCTGTTCGGCTACCTATAGCGCACATACAAGGACGTCGTTATGCGCTTTATTAACGTCGCTAGTAATAGTGTATCGGACGCTACGGATGCTGCCATGCGGCTGTCTCAGCTGGCAAACGCGTTAATCGATCCCGAACAGATGCGCAAGAAAATTACGTTCATTGCGCCCATCATTACGTCCGGATAGATGTGGTTAAGGGTCTGAAGTTGATTGCAGAGCCCCCCCCCGAGGCGCTGTAAAAAGCGCTGGTCAGGATCCACCTCAGCACGATCATACGGTAGCCGTTAACGCTGGGTCTAAGGCATGTGTACTTGCCAGCCGCAAGCCGACGCACCAGTACATTCCGACGCACTGAAAATCGACACACGAAATACGCTCTGACGCGGCTGGAAAAGCGGCTAAATATTCTAGAAAGCATCATAGGTCAGGTCAGGTAGAACCGGTCGAGACGCTATAGCTAATTCTGAATGGCTCGCCATAATCGTCGTGTTGACGCTACTACGCACTCCGCAACGGTTCATGGTGCGCCTCGCGGCCGATCGCAAGCCGGCTATCGACCTAGCGACGACTTCGCTCTCTCTTTCTGCTTGTCAAGCACTAAGAAAAAAGCGGAAAGAGTGCTAGAGATCAAAGGAACTGGCGACGGCTGACTTTAAGGAGAAGCCCAATCAGTACAAGATCAAGCTATGCATGAACTAACGATTATTATAGCGTTGATGTAACGGGGTGAATCGTTACATAACAATTTATAAGAAATTGTTAATAGAATATAACTATAAGAGTTATATTCTCAGAATATTGTCATAAGGACAAATATTCTGTAGCACTTACGAGTAGTTCCTGATTGGTTGATATAGGCCATTATATCAACCAACGAAGATGCGCCACGACAGACGCACGCAATGAGTGGTGAGCAGATAACTGATTTACACATTTGTATTTAGACATAGTTAGATGAAGATAAATAGTGATTTATTGCAGACATT